TACAATTAATTGTAGAATAACCAATTAATAGTTTATCACATTTTATATTGTTGTTTGACAATATTTTTTTTTTTGCTTTGCCCCGAAATGCAACACAAGTCTTTTGATGGAAGATGCTCGTTTTATCGCTTTCCTACTGATGCAGAGACTCTGGGTCCGGACCATAAGGTAAAGTCATATGATTATTCCATGTAAACACGGTAAAAGTGAAACTTTAATGATGCATAGTGCTTGAAGCCACGTTAAAATGAAATGTTTACGGCCACAAGCAGCTGTTATAAAACATATAGATTAAGATTTTCTAGAAGCAAGGAAAAAATAACATTTTGTGTACCCATCCTAACAAAACGATAGCTGAAATGTTACTTTATTCACTAAAATAAGTTTAATCTTACCATATCCAAAAAAACTTGCTTACTCTGCTGTTATTTCATATATTAAATGCACTAGAATTTTATTGAATAGTACACGGAGACACGTTTTTAATTAAAATATTCATCTGAATCAAAGATTTATTCACTTTTAATGCACCTTATTTCGAAATGTACAGAAATACATGCTTTCATATGTCCTTTAGTTATGATTATTTCATTTATTCACTATACTATTTATTACTAATGTCTCATTTCAGTTTTAGTTTGGCTCTAGTTTTGTATTTATTCCAGTTTATATGAAAAGGTTCGTAGCTTAAAATTCATATACAGAGTAAATCCTTTTCATTGAACACGTTAAAAATAAGTTTGAAAAGTTGTCGGAAGTGTGGTGCTGGTGACGCTGAAGGCGAGCGACCGTGATGCTGTACGTTTATAGCCTAACTTTAGCTTTTAAGTTCTGGTGCTTTTATTTAGGCTCCAAAATTCATAAAAGTATATTATTTTGTGAAGATTATCTTGATGGACAAAACGTGTAAGTTTCATGAACTATGATTGAAAACAGAGCTTATATTTTGCTATAATCCAAAAGCCTATGGAAAAATCCCATTGGCTTTTTGTCGAGGGAACCAGTGCGATGCTAACAGCCGATCCGCCTACATAGTTCCACCACTCTATTGAAAAATGTAATAGATAATGGAGTAAAAGTTTTATCATTTGTACGTGTTTACAAACTGAAGCGATTTTAAAACGAGGCGAATGGAGATTTCCGGCCAAGATGATGTGTTGAACAGTCGCTCGCGTCAGAGAGAAAAATTGTCTCAAATCTTGATTATCAGCTTATAAAGACGCTCCAAACAATTAAAAAGTATGATCAAACCGGCCAGACTGATAATTAAAGAGGGGGACAGTGAAAAGAAGCAAGCTGCAATGAGCACTAAGATTCTCGAACAATCTGCCGACCATGACTACGATATGGAGGTTAGCACAATCAGTAAAAGAAAAGACACCACACTGACAACTCCGAGCAAGATTCCAGCTGGGAAAAAGAGCAAAACTACATTAAAGGAAACTGAGGTCTCTAACCTGACCATACTCTAACCTGAATGGAAGCCATTCAGAGTTTGGAAAAGAACTTCAATGAGCAACTTCGAGAGCAAGCTAAACAGAGTAGCAGCATGATTGCTAGCCTAACAAAAGCCATGCAGTTCAATGCCGAAGAAGTTAAGGAATGCAAGGGGAAAGTCATCGAGCTGGAAAAGCAGACATCCCACCCTGCAAAAGCTCATTTCAGGGAGGTAGTACCACCCCCAATATCGTTTGTGTCTTGAATGAACGTCAGTATTTAAAATGTGTATTACTATTAGTATATGAGATCATGAGGTTTTAAAGTGACAGCAGCCCTTTGCTGTTGCCCTGTGCCAATGTCCTTGACTGAATAATGTTTG